GCCTGTAGTAAACCATATTTTTAATAACATACACTTTTTAACCCATAAATGGCTAAAAAGAGTAACATTGTTTGTTAATGGGAAAAGTGAACACTTCTAGCTCAGGACTGAGTACAATACTGCCTATTACTACGACAGTGGCCGAGTACCACATGCCCACCACGGGCACCGGGGTCGTTGCGAGTTTACGGAGAATTGGATGCCCAACAGCCCGGGTGCGGCTCCGATGAATTACTTCTTCTGGGGTTATCTGAAACATAAATGAAATCGACTGAAATTGACAACAATTTTAGGCCTTAAAACAAGTGATCAACAGAGCTTTAAATGTATTCGAGTGATTCGGATGTGTTTTTACGATTTCAGGCTTTAATTTGGTATATAGCATGTCTAGGTGCTATTTATATTTAGTTTATTAAAGTTTCAAATCGTTCCCAATTAATTCTGATCACTCTGTATTGTGCTTTAACATTAACATGAATTTAATATTATTTTAAATTAAAATATTTTTAAAAATAAAATATCACTTTAAAAATAGTTTTTTAACCAGTTTCTATTCATTTTGTCATTACGTGTACAAACATGTACTGGTATGGGTGCACTCGACCACTGGGATCAGCCCACCTCTGAAAACTGTCTATACGTCAACATATTGGCGCCGCATAACATCACAACTTTAAAGCCGGTTATGTTTTGGATATATGGCGGGGTTTTAGAGGGGGTTTTAGAGGGGGCTCTATATTCTCGGACATGTATAACGGCAAGTGGTTGGCCTCCTATGATGTCGTGTATGTGGCCGTGGATTACAGGTTGGGCTCATTGGGCTTCCTATACGGTGGCGATGATGAGGAGACCCCCGGAAATGTGGGACTTTTGGATCAACTCGAGGGGTTAAAATGGGTATGTATTGCAAACCTATTATATTACCTGAAATACAGACATTTTAAGTATTATAGACTATTGATGATGACCAGGGTAGATTACAGAACAATCAACAGAAATAAATATTTATAAAAGTTATCCAATTATAAAAATTAATCAATATGAATGTGACTATGGGTAAACAATAAAATATAGTTAAACACATTTAATTTAAAGTTAGTAATGATTTTAATAGTGATTAGGAATTCCAGTATCATTTATACTTACAATATAATCATTCAAAAACTGTACTAGACAAAATACTTGTTTTCTAAATGTTACGATTTATGATAATAATATGGACTACAGGTGCGAGAAAACATTCATCTGTTTGGTGGAGATAAGGATAAGATAACGATATTTGGTGAGAGCGCCGGTAGTATCTCAGTGTCGGCTCTTATATTATCTCCACTGGCGAAAGGGCTGTTCGCGAGGGCTATACTAGAGTCTGGCGCTCAGCTCCACAACCGTCAGGAAACTCATACCAAAGCCCAGGAAATGGCCAAACATTTCAAGTGTACGGACGATAAGACGTGGTTAGAGTGCCTGCGAAAGGTTGACGCGAATCAGATCCACGCATACACTCAGCTAAATGTAGGTCCCCTCGTGGGCACCGCCTATATGCCACTCACGGCACAGGATGCGTTCAAAGATGGAAAGTATAATACGGGTCAGTGTCTGTGAAATCATTACATCTGATAAAAAATGTATGTTTTTGTGTCCAGATGTGGATCTGATCGCTGGTGTAGTCCGTAATGAGGGCTCACTTCTGGCGCCACAAATCAAAGGCAATATCACTGAAGAGGTATTCATTAATGCCATCAAAGGACGCAATTTTGGTGACATTAGTTTGGGTCAAGTGTTGGCCTTTTATCTCAAAGACGTCAAAAAGGATGACTACGCGGCCTATCGGTGGGCATACTATGACCTGATTGGCGATATCGGTCTGAAGTGCAATACATACCTCTTCGCCAAACAAGTGGCCCAACACTCGACCACAAGGAATGTCTACTTCTATGAACTCACGTATCAAAGTGGCGGTCATTTGCAGGGATG